ATCACTCACCGAGTGATACGGTTTTACATAAATAATAATTATTTAATTTTGATCAGAAAATAAAAATCATCTTTTACTCAAATTAAATCAAATATTAATATGTATATATAAGATATTAATGAACACATTTTTAATATTATTTACCTGAAATCGGTTTAATTTTTCACGTGGTACTGGCGCTATATATAAGAACACACACACACACATACAAACATACATATATATTTTTGTTAGCCAAAATTTCTAGTAAATTTCGGAATTAAAGATGTTCTGTTGCTAATAGTTAAAAACAAGATTCTCCACCTACTTAGTACTCCAGACTCAAAATATATCATAGAGATTTCAAAAAAAAAATTATTTCTGATTTAAAAAAGTATTACTCAAGAATTATTATCATATTTATGATCACGATGTCCTTTGTATCGCTTATGATCAAAAATAAAAATAACTCTTTATAAAAATCATCAAATGATTTTTTTTGAAAAATCCAGATAAAAATTTTAATAAGATTTGATTTTTGTTTTTACTTTCACTTACCTATATATATATATATATATATATATATATATATTTTTTTTTTTTTTTTTTTTTTTTTTTTTTTTTTTTTTTTTTTTTTTTGGGTCCTCCCCTTCTTCGCTGTTAAGGCTATACGGGATTTTCCCGGGCCAGGGGGTGTGGGCGGGGATTTATAAAACGCCTCGGTACCGGGACGCGTACTCGTGACTATTTTTATATCATTAGATTCATATGTCAGGTCGCCGGGCAACGGTTTTCAACGGAAATACACGTTTTGAGGTACCCTGAGTCCCCAAATAACCAAGTACCGAAAAATGGTCTGTGTGTATGTGAATACTCTAGCTCGAAAACGAAAAGTCCTACGAAACTGATATTACGTATTTAAGATACCTTAGATGTGGCAGCAAGCTTTTTCTTAATATCGGCTAACCGAAAGTGCCACTTTATATCATCGCTGAAACACATTTTCACAATTTTCTCAAAATCGGCTCTAACGATTTTGATTAAACTCGGTGTATCATTGTATAATTAAGTGGTCTTTAATATCAATTAGGTCTTATTCCCATTGATGTCTCTTTACAGGGCTTAAATGCCCAATGTTCATGTACGTCTTCCTATAAAGTATCTTTAATATAGTTTATATTAAAAAGTTAATCATTTTACATTATTCAAAGTTACGAAAAAATGCTAAATATAACTTTTTAAAGAATTTGATAAGTCAAAAAAGGAGAAAAAAAAAATGCAGAAAAACCTGCCTTGTTTTAGACTGTAAACGAATGTACCGATTTCAATTAAACTTCGCTAAAGTCATTTTCTCGACACCATTTAAATTTATCTATATAACGAAAATAATTTGAAAAAAATTACGAGGGTTGGTAAAATTAAATTCCGAATAACTCAAAAAGTATACACTTTTCTGGAGATATTGTGATAAGATGTTTCAAAGGTAGTTAAATTTCCTAAAAAATGAAACAAGTTTCATGGAAATCAAAGCACTATTAGTAGGGATATCGCGATTTTAAAATATTTTTGCTTTCACTTATGTATATACGTAATATATAGTAAGAGTAAGTATTCCGACCGAGAAAATTTTTTGAATCTGCGTTTTCAATGGAAATACACGTTTTTTATTTTTTTAATTGTCGATTTCAAAACCTGGTCCTTCGTCAGTCAATTTTAACTTTTTTTCTTACTTGTTCGGATTATCGAGATCATCAATATCAAAATATTAGCTCTAAATAGATTGCTTTATAAAATGGTTTTAAATATTTAGAGCATTTTTATTTTCCAATGTTTTCATTTAATCTAAATATTAGAGAGCACGGTATCATTCCACTCAGCTTTGTGATGATTGGTGATATAGCTGTTGCAGGCTATAATATATTACGCAATTATTTAGCTGTGGTACACTATAATATATTACGCAATTATTTATCTGCCGTACACTATAATATATCACGGAATGGTTCAGCTGTGGTACACTATAATACAGACTATACCCCCAGAGGTGGCCAAAGCGCTGGAGCCCACAGTGGACTCCTAGGCTACCGTTAGCCTAAACAATGCCCTCAGCCCGGAATACTAAGCTGCCTCTCCGTTCGACCCTTCTGGAATATGGCCATTGATCCAGGCTGGCTCCTATCTATAATATATTAATATAATATTAATGTATTACAACTCCAGGTGAGTTGCAAAGTATATCGCGGTCACAGGGATATGCAAACTCACAAAATACAATGGTATCTACTTAAAACTACACGATACAAGTGAAAACATATCGACGAGATAATTAATATGAAATATAATTTTTACATGCTCACTACCCAACGTAGTGAAGTATTGTATTCGTGCAAGAGATTTAACAAATTTTGGGCTCAGAATCAAATATTTCCACTGGTGTTTTACGTTTCAGTCATCAGGGATCAAATTTGGTTCGGTGTCTGTCTGTCTGTTGTCAAATCGATGTAACGGGCGTTCCACCTACTACCGAAGAAGCTATACTGGCCTTACCTTGTCTGACTTTTTTTTCTATAATCGCAAAACAATAACATTTACGATAAATACAATTATTATTGTGTATAAATTATTGTAGTCAACATTTCTCTGACTTTCCGCCATTTGTATCAAACTCTAAAAAATATACTGTAGGCTGAGACATTTTAATATAAATGTTCAAAATAGTCGTTCGACTCTGTCTGTTCCCTGTCCCTCTAACTCAGCGTCTTGTTAAGATACTCTTTTAAATATTAGCTCATTAGAAAGAGGATGAAATGGTGAACATTTATCGCTTACAGTATGACGGTCCGGTTTTTATTCTCTGAAATATTTTAATCCATATCTTCAATAAAAGTTGTTTCATTATTTTTCTCTTTACGCATTCTCATCTGAAATCCTGGATCCGTTAGTGATACTCTGTAATAGCAGATCTTGAAACCTACAAAAAAATTAACTATGGAGTGATTAAATACAAAATATCTGAAATCTTTAATTTTGTATTTTTGAAATTAATCACGTTTTTTATTAAATTAAAAGTAATAAAAAAAATCTGGTGCGCGCAGCACGCAACTTTCAATTACCGCTCAACTTGGAATAGAAATTATTTTCTGACCATGGTGGGCTATTATCAAATTTTTGAACTGCGTTTTTAACCGAGCTAAAGCTGAAAAATTACAGCTAACAAATCATAAATACCATTAAAATAACAAAAGTTCTAATTACAATGAAATAGTAGTGGATACTGTTGGAATACCACAAAGGGAAGATTCATCAAATTATTCACTAATTTCATTTTCTAAAAACTTTCAATATTTCGGAATAAACGGACGTTGATAGCTAATTATTTCAATATAATATCAGATCTAGAATTATTAAACAACATTAAATGTATTTAAGGTTATAAACATATGCTTTATACATCCATGAAATGATTTTATATTTTAATTCTTTTTTCACACAAGTACAGTGAAATAGTTTTTTAAACAATTTTACTGCCTTGATTAGGTGGATTTTAAATATTTTTTTCAAACTTACTAATATTTTAAGATGAAACTTGTAAGAAATTGTTTATTACCTTCTCATAATTACTAGTGAAAAGAACAAGTCGGGATTTGATGGGAAGGGGAGGGGGAAGGAATGAAAACCGACTTGATGTTAAGAATATACCCTAGCATTGTATATTTATGTAGTTTGTAATTGAAAAAAAAAAGAAAAGAAACGTGTATAAATCACTCTTTAAGAATATACTCTAGCATTGTATATTTATGTAGTTTGTAATTGAAAAAAAAAGAAAAGAAACGTGTACAAATCACTCTTCCACGAGTATTATTCTAGTATTCAAATCAATAGTTATACCTTTTCAATTAAAGAAAATACATCACTTTAATAGAATACATTTTTGAATTTACTATTTAATTAATTTTTTATCTGAATTAACTTTTTTTCTAAAGCCGTTTATTGTTGTAACAACGTTGTTTTTTACATAAGGCTTCAGGGCATGAAACATCATGAACATCAATTCCCAATGTTTTATATTAGAAAAGAAAGAAAGAAAAGAATAGAAAAATATTATTTTAAAAAATAGTGATGAAGTAAAAAATCTAAATAGAAATGTACAATAAACGAGTCGAAACGTTGGCAAAAATAAAAATTTTAAAAAGACTGCGTCCTGAATATTTATCGTCCATGATATGTAGAACAGTCGAGTAACTTCCTTCAAGATAAATTTATTAGAGTTTCATTATTTTTTATTTTATTATTTTTTTTTTTTTGTTAATTTCAAATGAAAATAATTATTGGCTAGTTGGCCAGTGCGAATAATTTGCAAAAAATATTAGTCAATGAGCAAAATAATAACGAAATTAAATAATTCAACGTACTACGAAATGAAACAATTATTTCCTGTTTTGTAATTAAAGAAGGAAAATAAAATTAATATAAAGCTTTGTTAATATTTTAAACCAAAATGTTTACGAATTACATTTATCTACGTTCATCATCGAATCATCATTTATACGTTCATCATTTATCGTATTACGTTTACATGTATTTCAGATAATAATTTTGTTTTTTGGGTAATCAAGTAGTCTTTCGAAATAATCATGAGTAGAAAAAAAAAAGTGTATGAGTTATTTGCAAATAAAGTTTATTTTCCATCATTATCTTTTTTCTGCAATTTCAGGGCTATATGACTTAATTTCCCACCTGAAGGAGAAGAAGAGTTTAAAAAATCAGTAGACAATCATTGGATATTATGAAGGATTGACGAAGATTTGGCGTACCGACAAAAAACAGCTTCGAGAAATAATAAGAAGAAGTAACATAATTAATTAACTGTGAAACAATATAGTTATAAAGATTAAAATTTTGAATTATTTTTCTTTTATCGTTGCGGTAATTTTAACATTTGCAGTAGTGATCAAACACTTCAGTAATAAGCAGATAAACGTCTATTTTGGAAAAAATCAGCAGCGAGCATAGCGAAGCAATCAAGCATGTTTGATTTGTTCGCTGTTATCCCTAGCAGTATTGTGCTCAGTCGCCCTGCTCATCACTCCATTATGCGGTGTTCTATAGCAATACATGTGTATGTCTTCATCGCTGTTATCCCTAGTAGTATTGTACTCAGTCGCCCTGCTCATCACTCCATTATGCGGTGTTCTATAGCAATACATGTGTATGTCTTCATCGCTGTTATCCCTAGCAGTATTGTGCTCAGTCGCCCTGCTCATCACTCCATTATGCGGTGTTCTATAGCAATACATGTGTATGTCTTCATCGCTGTTATCCCTAGTAGTATTGTACTCAGTCGCCCTGCTCATCACTCCATTATGCGGTGTTCTATAGCAATACATGTGTATGTCTTCATCGCTGTTATCCCTAGTAGTATTGTGCTCAGTCGCCCTGCTCATCACTCCATTATGCGGTGTTCTATAGCAATACATGTGTACGTCTTCATCGCTGTTATCCCTAGTAGTATTGTACTCAGTCGCCCTGCTCATCACTCCATTATGCGGTGTTCTATAGCAATACATGTGTATGTCTTCATCGCTGTTATCCCTAGTAGTATTGTGCTCAGTCGCCCTGCTCATCACTCCATTATGCGGTGTTCTATAGCAATACATGTGTATGTCTTCATCGCTGTTATCCCTAGTAGTATTGTACTCAGTCGCCCTGCTCATCACTCCATTATGCGGTGTTCTATAGCAATACATGTGTATGTCTTCATCGCTGTTATCCCTAGTAGTATTGTGCTCAGTCGCCCTGCTCATCACTCCATTATGCGGTGTTCTATAGCAATACATGTGTATGTCTTCATCGCTGTTATCCCTAGTAGTATTGTACTCAGTCGCCCTGCTCATCACTCCATTATGCGGTGTTCTATAGCAATACATGTGTATGTCTTCATCGCTGTTATCCCTAGTAGTATTGTGCTCAGTCGCCCTGCTCATCACTCCATTATGCGGTGTTCTATAGCAATACATGTGTATGTCTTCATCGCTGTTATCCCTAGTAGTATTGTGCTCAGTCGCCCTGCTCATCACTCCATTATGCGGTGTTCTATAGCAATACATGTGTATGTCTTCATCGCTGTTATCCCTAGTAGTATTGTACTCAGTCGCCCTGCTCATCGCTCCATTATGCGGTGTTCTATAGCAATACATGTGTATGTCTTCATCGCTGTTATCCCTAGTAGTATTGTGCTCAGTCGCCCTGCTCATCACTCCATTATGCGGTGTTCTATAGCAATACATGTGTATGTCTTCATCGCTGTTATCCCTAGTAGTATTGTACTCAGTCGCCCTGCTCATCACTCCATTATGCGGTGTTCTATAGCAATACATGTGTATGTCTTCATCGCTGTTATCCCTAGTAGTATTGTGCTCAGTCGCCCTGCTCATCACTCCATTATGCGGTGTTCTATAGCAATACATGTGTATGTCTTCATCGCTGTTATCCCTAGTAGTATTGTACTCAGTCGCCCTGCTCATCACTCCATTATGCGGTGTTCTATAGCAATACATGTGTATGTCTTCATCGCTGTTATCCCTAGTAGTATTGTGCTCAGTCGCCCTGCTCATCACTCCATTATGCGGTGTTCTATAGCAATACATGTGTATGTCTTCATCGCTGTTATCCCTAGTAGTATTGTGCTCAGTCGCCCTGCTCATCACTCCATTATGCGGTGTTCTATAGCAATACATGTGTATGTCTTCATCGCTGTTATCCCTAGTAGTATTGTGCTCAGTCGCCCTGCTCATCACTCCATTATGCGGTGTTCTATAGCAATACATGTGTATGTCTTCATCGCTGTTATCCCTAGTAGTATTGTACTCAGTCGCCCTGCTCATCGCTCCATTATGCGGTGTTCTATAGCAATACATATGTATGTCTTCATCGCTGTTATCCCTAGTAGTATTGTACTCAGTCGCCCTGCTCATCACTCCATTATGCGGTGTTCTATAGCAATACATGTGTACGTCTTCATCGCTGTTATCCCTAGTAGTATTGTGCTCAGTCGCCCTGATCATCACTCCATTATGCGGCGTTCTATAGCAATACATATGTATGTCTTCATCGCTGTTATCCCTAGTAGTATTGTACTCAGTCGCCCTGCTCATCACTCCATTATGCGGTGTTCTATAGCAATACATGTGTATGTCTTCATCGCTGTTATCCCTAGTAGTATTGTGCTCAGTCGCCCTGATCATCACTCCATTATGCGGCGTTCTATAGCAATACATGTGTATGTCTTCATCGCTGTTATCCCTAGTAGTATTGTACTCAGTCGCCCTGCTCATCACTCCATTATGCGGTGTTCTATAGCAATACATGTGTATGTCTTCATCGCTGTTATCCCTAGTAGTATTGTACTCAGTCGCCCTGCTCATCACTCCATTATGCGGTGTTCTATAGCAATACATGTGTATGTCTTCATCGCTGTTATCCCTAGTAGTATTGTGCTCAGTCGCCCTGCTCATCACTCCATTATGCGGTGTTCTATAGCAATACATGTGTATGTCTTCATCGCTGTTATCCCTAGTAGTATTGTACTCAGTCGCCCTGCTCATCACTCCATTATGCGGTGTTCTATAGCAATACATGTGTACGTCTTCATCGCTAGTATCGTCGCTCCACTACTTGAGCAGTCTAACACACCGGCGTGTTGGGATATTTTGAAAAATAGCTCATTACAACAAGGTTGAAACAATGAATATTTTCCTCGTTTACAGAATGCAAGCTCCATTTTTAATTTCTGAGATATTTTTATCAATTTTCGAGATCAAATTATCTTACGGTTCAAATGGAAAACAATGGCTATTCATGAGTTTTTATAGCTCATTAAATTGGCAAAACTTGTAGATTCTCCAGATTGAAAACGCCTTTAAAAAAAGATTTTTTATTTTATTCACGAAGTTTTAGTCGATCGTTAGTCATTTGATAAAAAGGAGTGTTTACCGCAGGCTATGAGGAAGGACAAGATCACAACAAAAATATGGTGCGGTGCGCGCCTTACACAACTTTCACTTACCACCTTCTCAGCAGAAATAACTACTTTCAGACAAAGGAGAAGTAGTTATAATTATAGACGCTATAATTATTTATATTTCATTGTTGGTATTTTTATTTTTATAAGTACCCTTACATATACAAATTTTAATATTTATATCGGTGTAATCTATGCAATTAAATATTAAATAATAGCAACAATAGCATTTATGAAAACCGCATATATATATTTATATCCGTATTTATAGAGTCCGTATTATATTAAAATCATGTTACGTATGGAAGTCTGTTATAATCTTTCGGGCGAGCTTGGGTGCGATCAATTACAACTATTCTCCGTTACGATTTTTTATTTCCCCTTTAGTTAATTATCAAATTATTTCATATTTAACTATCTTTTATATTAAAAATTAATGTGAAATAGTCAATTGTTTCGAATAAAAAAGATTAAAGGTACTTTAGAGGAAGCTAATATTGATAATTAGCCATTTAAGCTCTGTTATAGAACATCATTCTGGATAAAAACTAAATTTTATTTAAAACTGCTTAATTTTACACTGATATAATGATTTTAATCAAAATCGTTGGAGCCGTTTCCGAGAAAATTTTTAAAATGTGACCCGTGATATAAAGTGCCACTTCCGGTCAGTCGACTTTGATGAAAAAGTTACTGTAACCTCCCTACCACATAAAAACCTTAAATGTGCAATTTCACTTTCGTACGATTTCTCCTTTTTGAGCTAGACTGTTATAACCCACATAGTTATAACCCACACTCCCGAACAAGAGGATTTCAGGAAGTAGGGATATCGTTACCGAGAGTAAGCAAATTTAATAACCTAGGCCCTACAGTAAAATCACCAACGGTCAAAATATACTGTTGAAAAATATAAAATTACAAATTTCTACGTTACCAATTTCCTGCCATCGGTATTTACTACCGATTTCGAGCGGAATATGTAACCTAAATTAAAACTGTTGATACTCAATGGATATTGTTGTGAAAAAGTTCGAAAACAATCTGGCTTTTCGGTTGTAAAAAGTTTTCCCTCGGTGGCCCGCGTTAGAAATTTTATGTTTCACATGTCTAAACCCATATATACAAGTTAAGAAATAATGTATATTCACTCATTTTTGGCAATATATTTCCCCTTTCGATACTTAGTTACGTCCTAGTTTTCTCTAAATCAGCCGTCATTTTTAAAGGGAGCTAGATCCGACTGGCAGACTCATTTTTTAAATTTAAATACTATAAATATTGAAAAAAATGCTTTCAAATTTTTATTAAGTAATATAGATCGTTTTTTTTTTGCACAGGATCTCGGACTATGTCCATATCGGCTTAAATAGATAAATGTAAAGGTTCAGTTTCTATTTTAGGTTTCATTTTGACCTTAAATTCACTAATCTAAAAGCGCGCTCACTCAATTTCCACTTTATTTAGTACTAGCGACGCAGTTTTAAGAGTAGTGCAAAGATCTCCTGTTGGAGAGACCTCCTTATCCTCTATAGTTGGAGGGATTGGTCTCGGAGTTCTCTCGGCTCCAGTGCTCTTTGCTGTGGAATGCTCTGGGGTGCTCCTTCCCCGTCCGGAAAGAAGGTTTTATGACGGAAGTTGAGCCATCAAAGTTTTTGAAAGGGCATGTTATGATGGGTTTTAGATTTTTTAAAAGAGGGAGGTTGGCACATTTCAACAGGATTATGAATTTTCAAAATGAAAAGTTTCAGAATAAGGGACAAGGGGGAAACATGGAACTGACTGCTATGTAATTGTATTTCATCTGAAACTAAATAACATTATTTTATTATGATATGCCTCTAGGATCTAGCCAAATAAATACATACATAGACGATTTGCAGATTTTTAATTGTGTTCTAATACAGTAATTCTTTCCTACTGCAAAGATTTTAAAGAGCTTTAAGGCTCTACTGAGCCATCCAATTCCTCCCGTGCCCTATCCTTACAATCCGTAAAATCCTCAATATTCCTTACATCGTCATTAATATAACCATCCATAACGACCTTAATATATCCGATTTGGCCCAATCCTGATATCTAACCTTCTATAATAAACTTGAAAACCATTCCGATTAACTCGTTTCTAACCTTGCTTCCTCTTCGATCTCTGATAACCCATGCAGTGCATCTGGAAAGATGTTACCGTGATCTTATGTAAATATATGATTAGAGGGCTACCAGTAGGCAGTTTCTTAACATGTCTAATCATTTCATCATATGCATTAGTTCATATTTACTATATGTATTTTTATACTAATATAGTTTTACATACTCTGAATAGAAAAAAAAAATGTAAAGAACGTACCTTGTTTCGAAACATTGGTTTCAACAAAAAAAAAGTTATTAAAAAAGGAATAAAATTAAAACTACAATTCACTGACGTCATCTCAAGAGGTATGTTAATGTTTGAAGAGAAATATTTAACACAGAATGAACACTAATGCGCCTCTGGACAAACATTTCAGTACTCCTTGCGCGTCGCTAAAAGGTTTGTTAATGCATTACCGCTGGGGGTTATGCATTACAGCCGCGTCATTGTGTACTAAGTTTTACAGAACCGGAAATCAAACAAAATTAGTCGTATTTTCTAATTTTCACTATTACCTACACAGTAATCGTAGTGCTACTCATCTTTAATAAAGAAGCACTCATCGATTGTTACGAAATGATAAATTGTACGTACAAAAGAACTATACAGTAGCGAGGGAAAAACAAAAAAAAGAAGAAAAAAAAAAGTATTTTAAAGTGTGCCGACATTTCGGCCTAGGTTATAGGCCTTCATTAGGGTAAAGGGTGTAATTTCTCTCAGCAAGTGTTAAGGTTAGTATAATGTTCTTGAAATAGTTTACTATAGGTTATAGGTTTGGGTATTTCTTTTGTACTGACGTTTCAACCTAACTTCTAGACCTTCATCAGGGTCAGAAAACATAGTTAACATTTAGTTAACAAGAAAATAAAAAGGAATGGAAAAATCTATGTTAACTGATATTACACTATATGTTTTTTGAGTTAAAATGAGAATGCATTGTCAATCTTTAATTACGAATATATTTTTGACTGTTATTATAAAATTATGAATTTTCAGTCTGAATAGTTTTTTCGGCTTGCTGACGTTTCGGATCAAACATGTAGGTCATCGTGAGGGTGATGGCAACTGTCTAGTCTAGCAGGTTGGATGCTCCTCAGAACGGCTTCTCTCTCCCCTCTCTCTCTCGTATCCAAAAATTTAACTGTTAATCTGTTATCAGAAAAAAGTTAAAAAATTACATCTGACAATATTGTTGTTCTTGTTATTATATTTTAATGGGTCTTGAAGAATCACTTAAACACTAATTAAGATAGTTAATTGCTTTCTTTTTCTTCAAAAACAATTACCATTAGAAATATATTAATGACGTGGATTCGGCCCGATAAGACTTCTAATATAGTAATCAGATAATAAATATCACAAAAGTTTATTTTCCACACTTGTTTGCTACACTTACAAATAAGAGTAATGTTGTGATATCGATGATGTCAGAACACGAAATATACCTCTTTAGCAACTTTAAGTTATCCCTTCGGTTTATCGAAGGTAAGAGTGGTATCGATTCTCTGCCTTTGAATTAGGAATCCTCATCACTTGGAGCTCTGTGCCTTTTATCGCGAACGTCTCCAACAGCTCTCAGCGGTCCCTTTTGGTCGTAGCGATTTGGTGGAATGCCTCGCCGCTTCACTCTGTGTTTGCCTGTCCATGCACCCTCGGTGTTTTCTAACCATCCTAAAGCAAGAACCTTTCAACTCTGTATAAAATGTAAAATTATAGCCTGTATCTAAATGCAGGGAGGTCATTTCAGTTTGTGGTTTTGAATTCTGTTGCTAATGCTGACCTTCACCTCCAACATTTCAAACAAACAAGAAATGCCCTATTCCTAAGAATGCTCTTAGACAAAAACGTTGTGGGTTCTGATAAGGTGAAACCACTCACGATGTTTTAGAAGAATGTAAATAATTTGACAAAATGGAATCTGTATCATAGGCTAGAAGGGATATCTTTATTTTTGTCATTATATTTCATCTTTTATGCAGGTCCCTCGTCCAACTTCTTTTTATTTTCATACGGATGTTACCGGATATTTTAACAGTGGTGTTGAATGAGTTTGTTGCCATCTGAAACTCTTTGTTGGAGTCGTACCTTGGAGCTGTAAGGGCTTTCAATATGGTGTTGAATGAAAAGGCTTTAGTTTACCCACATTGGTCATTTTGGTGTTCCGTATTATATCTGTGAAGCCTAGGTCCAAATAGACTTTAGTAGGTAAACGAGATCGTTCATCTTTTGTCTCAGTTTTAGTTTCGAACTTTTTGAAAATAGTATATATATTAGTCGTATTCATAGATTTGGCGTTTTTTTTTTTTTTATATGTTTAATTATAAGTGTAAAATAAGTACATAGCTATAAAAGAAACATAAAGTGATTATGTTATTAATGGAAAATTCAAAACACAAAGCCATCAGTCTCCAACATACGTTTCGTCAATTTAGTCATTATAGGGCATGTTATGC